CACTCAGACACATATTTCCACACACACATACACACACACACACACACATACACACACTTACACCCCCCCCCCCACACACACACACAGACACACACCTACACACACACACACACACACACGCATGCAGGCGCGCAGGCACGTACCGAAGAGACGCGGGCATAGGTGTTGAAGAGGCAGGCGAGAAACGCATTCTCGCGCGGCGAGCGAACGGCAGCTAGCGTGGCGCCGAGGTCCTCGCACAGCACCTCTGCATCGTCCCGTGCGACCTTCACGCTGCTGATGACGGCGTAGCCGTAGTTCTCGAACAAGATGAAGCCATCTGCCCACCAAACATCACATGATATAGATGGGTGCATGCATGCATGAGGGGTGCAAGCTAGCTTAATGTGGAGGACGGGAAAAAGACTCCAAAACGAAAATAAGAAGACATACATATATAGACAACGACTTGCGCGCACACACACACACGCAATGCTCACACTCATACACACACACACACACGCAATACTCACACACACACACACACACAAAACTCACTCACACACACGCACAATAATCACATCCATTTAAACAACTCTGGAACGTACCGCTTTCCGGAAGACCCGTGCACATGCCCTCAAATGTGCTTGTGGTAGTTGTTGTTGTTGTGGTGGTCGTTGTGGTTGTGGTTGTGGTTGTGGTCGTGGTGAAGGTCGTTGTCATCATGGTGGTGGTGGTGGTGGTTGTTGTGGTTGACGTTGTGGTGGTCGTCGTGGTGGTCGTGGTCGTCGTCGTTGTTGTTGTTGTTGTGGTGGTGGTGGTGGTGAATGTGGTCGTGTCGCGCTCCCAGAAGGCGATGCGAGCAAAGTCCACCTCGTCCACAGCAAGCGAGGGTCCTGTGCCGTTGAACGCCATTTCAAGTTCAATGCCCACGTGCTTCTCGGGGCTGGAAAACATCACCTCGTGCTCCACCTCCAACATGGTTTCTGTGGAGTTCCCGTCAAACTCTGTTGGGTCGATGGTGGCGGATGCCACAACCGCGTGCGTGTCTGCGCGCTGGAGGCTGATGGTGATGGTGTTGGTCATTGGGTAAGTCACGTCGAGGTTGCGCAACACATACGCGCGGAAGCGGAACGTGACGAGCGGGCGGAACGTGAACGCCTCGCCGGTGCTGTTGTTGATGAGCGGCAGCCGCATGTAGCACGAGCGGCCCGTCGACGCGGAGTGCAGGCACACAACGCCCTGGCGCTGGCCCGAAGGGTACGGGTCTGGCAGCAGGGTGTTGGGGGCGGCGACGATGAAGAGGGCCTGCGAGGTGGTGGTCCAGTCGCTGTTGCCGTCCAGAGCAACAAAGGCGCCGTCTGCGATCACGGGCGACTCAAAGTTGTCCAGGCCTTCGTCGATAAACGCCTCTGTTTCCGTGGAGGAGGACGTGGAGGTGGAGGTGGAGGTGGAAGTCGACGTCGATGTGGATGTCGTCGTGGATGTGGACGTTGACGTGGAGGTGGACGTGGTGCTGCTGGTAGATGTGGAGGTGGAGGTTGAGGTGGAGGTGGAAGTACTGGTAGTGGTGCTGGTGCTGGTGGACGTGGAGGTTGAGGTCGACGTGGACGTGGACGTGGACGTGGAGGTGGAAGTGGACGTGGAAGTAGAAGTCTGCTCAATGATGCAGAGCTCAAAGTTGTCAAAGAGGGGCGAGTTGCCGCTGCCGTACAAGGCGACGCCCACACGAATCTGGTCCCCGACAAGTGCGCTGTCCCCCGTGACGCGCACGGTGACGGAGTGTGTCTCCACGACGTCCTCAGCGAGGCTGGCTGTGCTGACGACGTTGACACCGGCAGCGAACGGGTTTGCCACGGAGCCAAGCGTCAGGTAGAAGCCGCTGATGTCCTCGTACACGGTACCGGAGAACCTGAGCGTGTCGACGGTGAGCTCGTACTCGCGGTATGGCTGGAACGTGTCGTTGAGCACCTGGAAGAGGGCGGCCGATGAAGCGTCGATGGCGAAGACGCCCTGGGACGCGGCAATCGGGGATGGCTGGCGGAGGTTGAAGGACGAGTCCGTGTCCCACACGCTTGACGAGAACGCGCGGATCTCGCCAGCAGAGAGCGCGGGCGTCTCAAACCCGGCTTCCTGGATCGTCAGGCATGGTGCTGCATGTAGAGGAGAGGGGGAGGGAGAGGAGATAGGCGTGGAGGTGCAAGGTGGAGGGAGCAGTTAGTGTGCGTGTGTGAGTGGGTGTGCGTGTGAGTGGGTGAGTGTGTGTGTGTGTGTATTTGGGGGGGGGGTGAGCAAGAGGTTGAAAGCGGAACCACGATCTGTGCCGTTGGCATTGGAATCGGCTGCGTGAGCGACGGCATGGCGTGAAAAGAGAACGTTTGGGCGTTTGATGTGAGTTTAAATGTCAAGTATCAAATATGGAAGGACTCACGCTGTGCCGTGCTTGCAGGCACGAGAGCGAGGATGACTGCGATCGCTGTGGCAGCCATGACCAAGCCGTGGTGCTGTCGCGCACGCTTGTGCGCTTGGGGATGAACTCGAGTCTTCCCCATCTTGTACAGTGATGAGCAAACGTGTACAGACACGGTGCTGGGCGGTCACTGCAAAAGATGGGGGAGGGGCAAGGCGGCGTTGGAGTGTGCAATGCAAGGGGTTTGGGACAGAGGTCAGTTCGTACGTGTGTGTGTGTGTGTGTGTGTGTGTGTGTGTGTGTGTGTGTGTGTGTGTGTGTGTGTGTGTGTGTGTGTGTGCGTGATGGAACGAGAAAGTGGTTGAGTGGTGATAAGTACGTATGCGTGAGTGGTTCAGCCACAGGGAGGGAGGACAGGTGGAACGACAGATTACAGCGAGAAGAAGAATGGAGGAGGACAAGAAGAGAACGATGCACGTGTACTAGGGACCAAAGACACATATTCAAGAAGACGGAGGAGGAGGAGGAGCAATTGACTGAGGTGTGGTGACTGCGTCGCATGACCACAAACAAAGGCATGGCTGTGGCTGTGCATTGGGGTGCGGTTCAACCCTACCTGCAATGAATCAAATCAGGTGTGTCTGTCTGGCCGAGCCAATGCTCTGCGAGGGTGGCTGGTCAAAACAAGCCTGCGAGGTGTGTGTGTGTGTGTGTGTGTGTGTGTGTGTGTGTGTGTGTGTGTGTGTGTGTGTGTGTGTGTGTGTGTGTGTGTGTGTGTGTGTGTGTGTGTGTGTGGAGGGTAACGGAGGATGCTGCGGTTATCACAAACCAATCGTGTTGCGTGCTTGCAGGCAACAAAGGAACTGTGCGTGTCAAATGGAGTAGCAAGGGTCAGAAGAGGAGAGAGACTCGTGTGTGTGTGTGTGTGTGTGTGTGTGTGTGTGTGTGTGTGCGTGTGACGACTCGAGATTGAGATGTGTGGGTGGGGAAAGGGAGCAGTTGCTTGTTTCTCTTCTTGCTTGCTTCTTGGGGTGCGGTCTCTAGGTCTGTGCTTCCCCCCCCCCCCCCCCACCCAACAACATGGTCGCTCACTCAAGGTTGTTGTCCCCTCAGCCGCCACCATTCATTCACCCACTCGCGTAGCAGGAGACCTCACCTGTGTGCCTGAGAATGGAGCTTTTCTCCATTTATTGCCACTGAACAAATGCGCACTTTCGGGCTTTTACCAACAACAGTCAAACGGAAACAATGCAAATCGACCAATCAGAGCAGAGCATCCACAATGAAACTTGTCTGAATGGTGTTTTGCAGCACGAAGAGCACGACAAGGCTGTGCAACGTTTAATGATGTGTGATGTGACATCACTATCGACTGGTTGATGGCTTGACTGGATGGGCTGGGATGGGATGTGTTTGGTCAAAGGTGCACAATGAAAAGCACAAGAAGAGCGGAAGAAATAAGACAGAGGGAGAAGTGATGGTGACAATGGTGGTGATGGTGGTGATGTGCAACGCTGCATTTCACTCACTCTCAGTCCTGGCTCTCATCAATGAAGGTCTGTGCCTCTTCCTTTGATACGACGTTGATGTGGCTGACTTTGTTGGCAAACGTCACGCCATATACCTTGTCGCACCGCTCAAGCAGCTCAGGCCTGTGATCGTGTGTGTGTGTGTGTGGGGGGGGTGGTCGTGTGAGCGCAAAAGTGGGAGGAGGAGGACAAGCAAATTTCACACACACACACACACGCACACACACACACACACATACACACACGCACCTGAATGTGGTCGTGATGTATTGTGCATCGCGGGAAGCCTTGTAGATCATGCGGGCGACGGCGCTGCGGTGGGCGGGGTCGAGTGCCTGGTCAACCTCGTCAAACAGGTAGAAGGGGCCCGGGTCACACCGCTGGATGGCAAAGATGAGCGCAAGCGCAACAAGAGACTTCTGCCCACCAGACAGCTGCTGCAGCATGTGCGTATCCTCGCCTGTGAGTGAGTGTGTGTGAGTGTGTGTGAGTGTGAGTGTGTGTGCGAGTGAGAGAGAGTGTGTGAGTGTGTGTGTGTGAGAGTTCGGTGTGTGCGAGTGAGTGTGAGTTGGCTGCTATACGCGATGCATGTGTACGTTGTGCATGTGCAAGTGTGTGACTGTGTCACATCAGCTCGCACACACGAGGCCACCTTCCTATCTTCACCACATCACTGACATCGCCCCTTCGTCTTCGTCACCATGACCATCAGCGGACTGACCCTTGCCCGTGAAGTTGACGCGGATGGCAACGCCTGAATACGCCGTTGTCGTCGTCTGGCGCAGCCGCACATGCGCAGGCACATCCTGACGGGGAGGGGGGTGGTGGTGGTGGTGGTGGTTGTGAGAAACAGTGTTCATCGTGGTGATGGTTGTGAGAAACAGTGTTCATCATAAAGGTGCTGAAGAACAAAATGCTGGGCGCGATGTGTCTGTGGTGCGGGATGATGCATTGGGCCATGCAAGCACGGCAACCACGCGTGCACGCATTGTCACCCAGGCGTACAGAGTCGGGGGCGCTCAGAGTCCCGCTCTCTTGCGATTCTGGAGAGAAGAAAGGATGAAATGACACAATGCAGGGCAGTCGCGTGAGCAGTGTGCTGCGCAACCCCACGAAACGCCAGCAATGCGACTCAAACACGTCAACGTTGGCAAGCACCGGCCACCATCACCACTACCATCACCACCACTATCACCATCAGCAGCACGGGTGGCCGTTAACAAACCGGCAGTTGGGTCGGCACGCTGCATGACGAGTGACGCCTCGCCATGGGGAACAAGCTCCTTGAAGACGGCCTTGAAGTGGCTCGCAACCTGTCGTGCAAGGAGGGGAGCACCATGCAACAGGGGGGAGGGGGATGTGGGTAAATGCTAGGAATGCAAACACAGCATGGGCAAGATAAGGCAGGCAGCACAAGTACACGAGCAGTGACAAGGGGATGCAAGCACACACACAAGAACATGCACATATTGGCACAAACACACACATACACACGCACATAAGCACAAACATAAGCACAAACAGAAGCACAAACATAAGCACAAACAGAAGCACAAACATGCACACACAAACACACGCACATAAGCATGCACATTGACACAAACCTGCTTGAAGGTGAGGTTGATGGCCTCGTGCTTCTGTGCGTCGAGGACCTGAATGAGTTCTGTGATTGCGCTGTCGCCGCTGTCCTGCTGGTCCTTGCGCGAGACAAGAGCATCGCGCTGCTCGCTGAACGAAATGTACTGATCAAGCGCCTTCTTGTTCACGTGGCTGTTTGGGGTGTGCGTTGGGGGGTAAAGGGGGAGGGAGCGCGTGGATGGGAGCACGTGAATGTGTGTGTGTTTGTTTGTGTGTGTGTGTTTGTTTGTGTGTGTGTGTGTGTGTGTGTGTGTGTGTGTGTGTGTGTGTGTGTGTGTGTGTGTGTGTGTGTGTGTGTGTGTGTGTGTGTGTGTGTGTGTGTGTGTGTGTGTGTGTGGGCGACAGAAGGTAGCAAAGTGGCATTCAGCCACACACCTGTATTTCTTGAGCTTCTTGTTGACCCGCTGCAACTTCGAGTACAAGGTCTTGATGTCTGACATTGCAGAAACACACGCGGCACCGACGTGAGCGGGCGGGGGACGAGGAGGACGAGGAGAGGGTAAAGCAGACAAACCACAGATCATTCATCGTCACCATCATTGTTACCACCACCATGATGATCACCACCATCGTTGCCGTTGTCTCACCCGTCTCTGCGTATTTCTGGAACGCGTCGCTCGGCAGCGCTCCGAGATCCCGAATCTGAGCAAGCAGTTTCTCCTGTGCACACACACACACATGTGGTTGGTAATCGTACATGTAAGAGTGCGCGCGTGTGTGCATGTTTATCTGCACATCCATAAATATGCACATGCCCGTGTGCACGGGTGTTACCTTCTTCTCGCGGAGTTGGGAGCGCTTGGCCAACAGCTGTGTCAGTTCCTCGTCCGTGTGGTCGCTGCCAGCATCCCGCTGTGTCTGCTCAGCAAGCAGTTTCTTCACCTGCACACACACACACACACACACACACGAATATGAGTGAGCGCAGCAATCACACCACGCGGAGAGCGGAACAACGCCAAGTGGGCAAACACATGTGCACAGCGATACATTCGCGCTAATGAACTGACGCACTCATCATCATCATCATCCATTATTACCACCACCACCATCACCATCAACGACGTCACCTCGCTCTCGAGTTTGGATTTCTTTTCCTCCTTGTTTGTGCGTTCTGCCTCCTTTGCCCGCAGCTCCTGCTTCAGCTTGGCCAAATCCTGAACACGCGAAACGGAACAGCAAACAGGGCGGAGGGAACAGGTGGTGAGCACACGCGATACGGCTGCAGTACGTGAACCGGTGCTCTTGTGTGTGTGTGTGTGTGCCTGTGTGGGCTCTTGTGTGTGTGTGTGCTCTTGTGTGTGTGTGTGTGTGTGTGTGTGCTTTTGTGTGTGCACGCGTTTGTGCGTGTATGCTTCTCATGCCGTGCATCACCTCGTCGGTGTTGCTGATTTGGGTCTTGAGTGTTTCGATGGCCGTTCCTTTGAGCACCTCGTCACTCGTCTCCAGTTCCTGCGCAGATGTACACGCGCAGGAGGTGGTGCACACGCAGTGAGATCAGCTGTCAACACAACAATCATTGTCATGTCGCAAGACAGCTGTACAACAACAAAGTACACAGGCGCCAACCCCCAATGCAAGCTGACATCACGTTGCCCCCCCCCCCCCACGTCAAACGCCATCATCATCATCATCATCATCATCATCATCATCATCGTCATCATCATCATCATCATCATCATCATCATCATCATCATCATCATCATCATCATCATCATCATCATCATCACCACCATTATCACCACCACCACCCTCACCTGTTCAAGCTGCTGCTTGCGCTTCTCCAGATGGCCGTTGATCTCGCTCTCCAGCGTGTCCTTTTGCTGCTCCACATCTGTGCACACGGCGCCAGCACAAACGCAGTCGTGAGGCACCAGAACACACATATACACATACGCGCAATGGCACGCAGTTGCAACGACACTGTGCACACGCACAAGCATATACACATACACAGACACAGACACAGACACACAGACACAGACACACACACACAGACACACACACACACAGACCTGAGAGTTCCGTGATGATGGCGTGGAGGTTGGTTCGCGCCTGTTCAATTTCCTCGGACAGCGACGCCAGCTGACGATGATGACGATAATGATGATGCACGTGTGTGTGGCAGCGGTAAGATCAAGCAAAAAAAAAAAAACACACACACACACACAAAGTACAACACACACATACACACGCACGCACACAAGTACAACACTCACCATACACATACAAAGTACAACACACACACACAACACACATGCACACCCCTTCCCCTTTCCAAACAGCACCAGCAGCGCACCGTTTGCTGGGCGTCCTGGTCAAGCTGGGACTCGAGGTCGCTACCCATCTCCGTCTCGAGCGAGTCGATGCGGGACTGCGTGCGGGCAATCTTGTCTGTGAGCGCGGCCACCTGCTCCTCCAACTCCGGCACCGCCGCCTCCAGCTGCGAGATGGACTGCTGCAGCGGCGCCGCGTCCGCCTGGCCACGCAAGCAACAAGGCGATCAAGAGGGCGTGTGTGTATGTGTGTGTGTGTGTGTGTGTGTGAGTGAGTGTGTTTGTGTGTGTTTGTGTGTGTTTGTGTGTTTGTGTGAAGGGGAAAAGGGAACGCTGGTGTGCACGCATGTCGACGAGGTTGCGCATGGCGTCATTGTATCATTCCAAAACATCATTCCATGGTTCATCATAACATTAGCGCACAAAACAAGCGCATGCACATCACGGCTGCTTCGTCTCACCTGTGCAGACTCGATGGCGTTCTTCTCCTTGCTGATGCTCTCCTCCGCATTGCTCACCTTCGACACAACATTCGTCACCTGAACACCAGTAGTCACACATGGCACATTGACAGTGTGTGCACATCGTATGAACGTCAGCGTCACGATGGTTGCATGGCACCGTGCCCCCCTCCCTCCCGCAAATGACAGCACATCACAAATGCCCCCCCCCCCTGTAAACACGAAGTAAAACGTGCACAGTGATTCCAGCTGTGTCTGCAGTGGCTGCGCGTACATGCTGTTCTGCCTTTGCGACGTTTGATGCCAGCTCGTCGTACTTGGCTTTCTTCCTGCAGCGGGGGGTGAACGCGAATACCGAAGGAAGTGTGGGTGGGCGCGCGTTCAAGCGTGAGGGCGAGAAAGAAGATTATCACAAGGCACGACAACTCGCAAACGGTATGCAGCGATCCCATTCACACACGCGCACACACACGCACACACACACACATACACACGCACACACACACACACACGCACACAACAAAGCAGCTCACATCACCCTTGCCGCCCAATCTCCAACCCCCTTGTATCTGATTTGACGTACGCGGTGTGCTGGTGGGCGTAGTGGGCAATGTCCTGCTGCAGCATGAGGCGGTTCGTGCGGTCGTCGACCCATCCGCCCTTGATCACGTTCTTGCGCGACACGCGGTCGCCCTCCAGCGTGATGGCGTCGATGTTGTGCTGGTCCGCAACCCGCTGCGCCACCTTCAGCTCCCGACACACAAACGTCCTGGGGAATGGGGTGTGTGTGGTGGGGGGGGGAGGGTGTGAGGCATGTACATGGGTCTCGCAAATCAAACGCAGCACAACCCACACACACACACACACACACACACACACACACACACACACACACACACACACACACACACACACACACACACACACACACACACACACACACACACACACACTCGGTCACACAAGCACACAACCAAGCACCCCGTTACTCACTTTCCAAAGACGTGTTTGACGGCTGGGAGGAAGCGCTGGTCCGCGGCGATATAGTCGACGAGCGGGGTGTACTCGTCCGAGGGCGGCAGGGTGGCAGTGGACGGGCGCAGGCGGTTGAGTGGGAGGAACGACACGCGTCCAGGCAGCCGCTTCTCGTTCATGTGCTGCAGAATTCGCGACGCAGTCTGCAGAGGGGACAGATGGTGGAGGCGGGGCGGCATTGATGGTGAGCGGGATGTGTGAGTGAGTGAGTGTGTCGTGTTGTGTAAGCGTGTGTGTTGTGTTGTGTTGTGTGAGTGAGGTGTGTTGGGAGCAAGAAAATGCCCAACATATTATCCAGTCAGCCACTGCGCATTCGCGGCGTGGTCACCTGGTCTGTGTCGACGACGATGTTGAAGAGCGCGTTGCCGCCCGTCACGTCCGCCGCCACCAGGAACTGATGGCATGTGATCAGGGTTCACCGTGAACAGAAATGAGCGAGCGAAGGATATGCAAGCATGACAACCGCGCCAGCACTGACACACACACATATGGACAAACACGTGCGCAAATGCATATTGACACAACTACGCAAAAAAAAATACACACTTACACACACACACACACACACACACACACACACACACACACACACACACACACACACACACACGCACATTCAAATGCACACACAGTCACACATGTGCATACCTGCTCTGTGACGGTGATGAGCTT